CAGTGAATTCCTTCTGCAAAAAACACAACAACTAAGAAACCATAGAGCAACAAACATGAATATTTAGGGGGAAAAAATCAGCAAACCAGATGAGTCCAAAAGACCATCCTAAGAGCTTCCCAGCCTAATCATTATCCAGGAGGCCTTCTGGCTCTGAAATCTGGTAACACATTGATTGTGACATATGCAGCGGTAACAGCACCCTGTCTGCCAGAGGGGACTCAGCATGCAGTTTATGTTCCTAATCGCTTGCCGTCCTGCTTCCCCCACCCCGCCACTCACCAACACACACCCAGCAGGTAAAATGTGCTGCTTTCACTCTGAGTGTGGCATTCCAGCATCTCTGCTGAGATAAAACCGCTAATTGGAGTTGCACTATTCAGAGCCGCAGGAGATAAGGTGATAATTACCAAAGGATCCAGACCCTTCATCTGCGTCATGATCTTTGCATGATGCGGATATAAAAAAAGAGACTTTTTTTCTCAAGCAAATTTTCTAAAATGTGTCCTTCACACTTGCCAAGACGTCGTGACTGTTGGAATAGCAGTAAGATTTAGAGGTTTGGGAATGCAATGGGCAGATAAAATGATGGAGGCCATTAGGAGCAGCAGGAGTGGTTGGGCTTGTCTTTAGAAACAGAGCCATTTTCATTTGGCCGACATTCAAGTCTTGTCTCACTGATTCTTTCTGGTCTGCAGATAAAACTGCCCCAGCAGGCTTGGTTCTCACCTATGCTTCCAGAATTCCTCACAAGAGAAACAAATAGCGTTTATCACACGTTCTGCTTATCGCAGCATTCATTTAGCAGCTGCTGTTGAGAGAAAAAAGAAATTTCAAAAATGAAGCAGCATAGACACTTCTGTCTGTCATGAGAGAGACTTACATAAACAGATGTTTTATAAGGAATCAGGGCAAATGTTGTGCCAAAAACAGATAACCAATACAAGAAGAGCACCTTAAACCCATATTTCTCTGTACAGACATTATGCAATCGCTCCAAAATGTCTAACAGTACTGTCTGACTCGCATCTCACACAGCACTGTATCATAGAATTAGCACTGAATGTGGTTGGTGCGACATTCCTCTTTCGCTGATTTGTATCCCATCCAGTAGTTCAGATAATTATACACCAGCTCCAAACCCATTTAGAGAAAAATATGCTTCCTAAACAAGACAAGCTACTTGCAAAGGTGAGCTAATACTTCTGGATATTAAGCAAAATCTGGATGCAGTGAGATTGTAGTCTTTTGTCTGAATGGTGTGAAAATCATCTACCAATTCAGACCCTTGACTCACAGCTGCATCTTCAATTCAGGCCACTTCCTCAAACAGGGCACTCAGTGCTCCCAGCCTGGGTCTCAGAATGCAAGCTAAGTGAAGTTGCAAATGTACATCCCATTATGCTGAGCGATCCGTCCCACATTACAAGCCAATCTTTTCCCAGTTTAGAAAACGCGTCAGGTTTTTAACCACAATTGTCTCTGAGCTTCTTTAAAGATCAAAATGTGCCTTTAACTTCGTTGTAAATCTCCAGAAGGAGACCTGTTTACTATTAAATTATAGAATTGCAGAAATATTTCAAGTATAGATAAAAAATAGCATTCAAGGACTTTGGTTATAGTGTAAAAACAAAGACGTTAATAAGGACTGCAGCAAGATTGTATAGACCTTATAAGATGTCAGAGAAACACGTTGGCTTATAATGTTTTGGTAAAATTGACTAATAAGATCAGTGTATAATGCTTTCTACAATGAGAAACATGATTGTACTTTATTGCATCGAAATTTCTGAAGACTTTTGATTGAATTACCTACTTTTGGTCTATCTAAAGTTTTAAAATAGAAGCATGTCCTTAATGTTGCTTATACCAAACAGGCACACATGTAGACTGTGATATCTTTAATCCAGAAGAACCAATCTTCTCAAGTTCTTACTCTTTAATATTTTTAACTTATTGAGAGATGAGAGCGAGGTCAGACATACACTCAGCTTCTCATCGACTACTGTGCTTATGTAACATTAATTGGGGTTTTAGCCAAATAAGTAGTAGGAAAAGATACCAAGGTCTAAAGCTTGTTGTTATTGGACAAATTAGATGTTTTTGAAAGTGGGTTCTGTTGTGAAGTTATGATCAGTCAGTATTTTGACTTTTGCTGTTGGCTGAAAAAGCAATCTCCATTTCATCAAAGCAAAGATGCCAGCAGTATAATTTAGTGCAGATTAAATATCGACTGCTAGAAGCTCTTTGCAGAGCAACACTTCTAAAGAGTTTAACTATGAATTTGGTTGGTCTGTGGCATTTTAGGCATTTGAAGAGCAAGCTCGAAAAAAAGATAATTCCACTGTCATCAGTTGTAGTAGTAAAAAGGTTTATTAGAGTGAATCTGAAGAAATGTAAATACATTGTTGAAGGCTAAGTGCTAGCCAGAGGATGGCCATTCTTTTACCTGACTTATTTAAAAGACTAAAACTGATCTTATATTGTTTTCCATCACTGTGAGGATTTTTTAACTTTACTCCAAACTCACTGCAGTACGATGTCTGTCACTTTGCAGTGCATGTATTTGGTAGTGGAGTTACCCGACATTCATCATATCTCTGGTTATCTGTCCATCTGCCAGCTCACTTCCTGTCTAAACCCTGTCAATAACAATTAATCAGACCACAAAATCTGCCAAAACAAAACAAACATTGATTTAAAAACAAAGGGTTGAAAAAAAAGCTGATAAAAGTTCATGTTGCCAGTTGACTTAAAACTAGCATTGTTGGATCAATTGGATCAATGTTGCAGATGATTATATTTATGCATGTGAACACACACCAAATTTTGGTTATGTACACATTTTTCAATGTGTCTTTGTGCAGCACTTAACAGAAACAGATAAAATAAGGTATGTAACTTAAAATACTGCCGTTTTCTCTAATGAAGAAGAGATGAGGTAATGGCACAAATGAAAAGATTTTTGCAGATTATTAGTTGCAGCTTCACGAGGATTTGTTTAATGTAATATTTTTTAAATAAAGGTGAGCATACTTATTTCTGTCCTCTTAAAATAAATTTTGTCCAATGATAATCTGAAAAACCTCTTTGACAGCAGCAAAGTTAAAGAAAAGCTAGTACTAGCCTCCATGAGGGCAGGATTACGTTTCTTCACAAAGTCCAGAAACAAACTTCTGCAAATAGACCAGGTTACACTTGACTATTAGCTAAATCACCAGGTTTCATTGTTCATATTTATATTTTGTATGGACTGATTCTTTGTTCTAACACAAACTCAGTTTGTTTGAGTTTTCCCAACTCCAACTTAGAAACATTTCCTTTAATTTCATTTTTTTTCCTTATTCCAAACATTGTGGCATCTATACTTCTTGGCTGTTATGTACTAAATTATGAGGGGTTTTTGTGTGTGTGTGTGTGTATTTACGCTCAATGTTTTAATATTGAATAATTTGAACTGTGAAAGCTTCATTAAAGTTTTCTGTCTCATTTTTGTTTAAAATATTAAGTCGTATATAATCCTGAGTTACAGTGTCACGCCAAAGTATGACACCCAGTAAACCAGAAAAGTCTGGTTTGTAGAAACATCAGTTACAGATGCAATTACATTGCATCTGTAATTACATTGCATGATGTAAAACACATGTTGAAAGTGTTTTACATCACCCTCAACATGTGAGAATATCAGCTCTGCTTTCATTAAATCTCTCCACTGCAATTTTAACTGTATCTCTGGGTAATTATCCTGCTGGATCAAGAACCTCCACCCTTTCTCAAAAATGCTAAGAGTCGTTCTTCCAGCAATGTCCTCTATTTACCTCCATCAGTTTCAGCTTCTCTGTCATTACTGGAGAATCATGTCCCAAGACATGATGCAGACACCACCATGTTTTATGATGAAGATGGTGATGTGCAGTGTTAGTTGTCTGCTGAAGTGTATTTCAGGTGGATCAAAAGGTTACATTTTGATCTTTTTGACCTTTTGTTTCCACTGCCTCTACAAGATTTGTGGTCTGCTTGAAACATGACTTCTGGCTTTATTTCAAAAAAAATTTTCTTCCCATTATTAATTCATAAATACCGGATTCTTCCCTCCATGTTTACCAATGGCCTGATTTCTCTTTCTTTGATGAACTATTGTCTTTTCCCTGGGCATGTCTGGGTAAGTATAGTGTTGAGCCATGCTTTTCAGCTTTTTGCCTGACTTGATTGCTATGTGTAATGTTCCCTAACAACCATTTGAGGGCCTTACCTGACAGCTTGATCTGCACTGTGAGTAAATTTCACATGAGTGAATTCTACTTAAATCTGGGGTGTCCAAAGTCAGTCCTCAAGGGCCAATATCCTGCATGTTTTAGTTCAACACTCTGGTCGCAGCTACTTACTCAGTTATGTGTTCTCAGTTATGTGTTCTCTGTGCCACACTAAAGCGGCAAATGATGTCCCTCCAAATACCCAATTAATCTGCACTTGTGTGTAGAATGTGTGTGTGCGTATTTCTGGTTTTTGTAGTGTCATTGGAACCTCACTTGAAACAGTCCCATGGAAGGCCCATAGATGGTATGGGGACCAAATACCAGACCAATTTAGTATCGTATTGCTGGTTGGTGGTTAGCACTAGAAACTGAGTAAACACAGTGAAACTTGGGGGCTAGGCTACATTGAATCAATGGAGGTCAGTGCAATGCAAGGCTAGCAGAACAAACTAGTGTGAATCAATGACCCTGTACTTTTGAATGAAATATTCCTGTACTATGGCAAAAATATGTGTTATGATGGATGGAGGGGTTTCATAGATAGATAGATAGATAGATAGATAGATAGATAGATAGATAGATAGATAGATAGATAGATAGATAGATAGATAGATAGATAGATAGATAGATAGATAGATAGATAGATAGATAGATAGATAGATAGATAGATAGATAGATAGATAGATAGATAGATAGATAGATAGATAGATAGATAGATAGATAGATAGATAGATAGATACTTACATTCCAGGTGTTTTTTCTTTGGGGCTGTCTGCTCATGTGTAGTGGCCTTACACACGGCCCTGGAGACCTCAGAGCCCGTCAGGGTGTACTGAGCCGCGGCGATGCGATCTGTCAGCGTCTGCCCCGACATCTTCTAAATATCCGCTGAGTCCAATCTCTACGATCAGCGTCCAATATGGTCCTACCCCCCCACCCCCCACCCCACTGGTCCCCACTCACACGCACGCACACTCACGCTCTCACACACGCAGCAAAAAGAGCGGGGAGCCCCAATAATCCCCCGCTGCCCTCGAAAACGGCCGCACAGGTTCCGGCGCTAGAGAGGAGCCGCTGGGACACTCTCTGATTGCGTAACAACTGGAAGTCCGTCCTGTTGGGTGTTCACGCGTTTCCTTCCCCGAAGGCCGGGCTCCAACATTAGGCGACAAAAAAAAGAAAAAAAAAAAAAAAAAAAAGAAATATCCAATCCAAACCCACGAGGGAGGCGGGAGGGGGTGTTATTATAATGATTACTATTTTATTTCAGGTCGGTGTTTCTGTGAATGCAGCCTACCGGAGGATGCTGCTCGTTGCCTCCCCCTCCTCCCTGTCTTCCTTCCTCCTTCTGGATAATCCTCACCAGCAGCAGCAGCAGCCGCGGTCCTACCGTCCCAGTGTATCAGCGGTTCATACGGGGAAGCATCATCACCATCATCACCATCATCACCTCCATCATTCCGCCCACCATCCGACGCGGCTCCGTCGCGGCCTGTGGTACCGAAGTGATGCGCCACAGCCCGCGATTATTTTCGGTGAATTAACATGCTTTTATAAAATAGGCTACATATATATATATATTTTTTTCTATTTTTTTCCCCCATAAATCCTCCGCTCCCCACCCGATACACTCCAAGTCGAGTGACGCTGCGTTGCCAGCCGCGCTGCCTCCTCTGTTATCGCGAGACCTGGAGAAGGCGTGAAGACACGAGATGGGGGGGATCAGATGGGAGGAGGGGGTGGGAGGGTCGTCCAAACGACCGAGCGTGATGCTCTCTGTGAAGGTCATGTGGAGCTCCGAGCCGCATGCAGCAAGACTTGATGCGCCGTTGGTCCTCCGTTTGTGCAAAACAAACCATGAATGACGAGCAGAGCAGGAGGTGAAGAGGAGAGGCGGGTTCAGTCTCTGTCCATGGTGCTGATTTCTCCCGTTAGATCGTGACCGACGCCATAGATCTGATTTCTACATTTTATTATTTCATAATCACAAACTTCAGGGAAGACTGGATTTTTATAAAATGGCAAAGGCCTTGTGTTGTGGAAGGACCCTGGTGTTCATGTTCCTTTTTGGCCAGCAGACTCCCCTGACCTTTAACCCCATAGGAAGTCTATGGGTTGTTGTCAAGTGGAAGATGAGAGTGCCCATATCCAAATGAGGCAGATGACCTGAAGGCAGCTGGCAAAGCGATCTGGGCTTCCATGACGCCTATGCAGTTGCTGATAGCCTCCATGCCTTGGCGCATTAATGCAGTAACTCCTGCAAGAGGAGGCCCGACCTCGTATTGAGTGCAAATACTTTTCAGTCGCCTCACATTTTTACTCAAAACACTCATTTTTTTCATTGGTCTGTAATAATTAAAACGGCAAAAAGATAAAAGCTTCAAGTGTTTTGCTGAATGTGTATAAAATGAAATGAATGGGAAGAAATTTTGTACTTCTACGCAATATATTTAACTTTTTTTTTAGACGCTGTTACTGTGTTGGGCCTGCTGTATAGAAGACGTAAACTGTTGAATGTATATAAAATTTTGTGTAATGTGACAAAAGGTGGAAAACTTCAAGGGGAACGAGTAACACACCCTGAATGACCAACACACTCATTAAGGGTAAACTACGCAGCCCCTTGCAGAATAAACATCGACTGATGAAAACACTTTTTTAATGTCAAAGCACCACGTGGTTCTTTCAGACTCGCAAAATATGAGCACAATTGTCTCTCAGAACAAGAAAATGCTCTTTTTATTTTTAATTCGTTTGATATTTTAAAGTGTGTAATGGCGGCACTTGACCAAATGTAATGTTTCGATATATTGACTGTTTTACGACTCTGTATTTTTGTTTTTACAATGTAAAGCACCTTGAACTGCCTTGTTCTGTACAAATAAACCTGACTGAGAAAATATGTAATGTCGACAGTTCAGACGCCGAGTTTAAATTCACATGCTGAAGATCAACTGTCCCCCAAACGTCACACTTTTATTGTTTCTTTTCTTAGCAAATCCATATTCTCGTATATGAATTCCTTCAAAACTTTTTTCTGGATGAGCTTTTAAAAGGTTTGAAGAGAGCGAGTCGTTTGACTGTCATTAGAAACCTTTTTTTTTTTAATTAAGTCACCTTACATGGAATGACAGAGCATTTCAAGCGTCTTCTGAACGACTCATGAAATGTTAAAATTTGTCAAAAGCTGCTCCGTATATACACAAAATTAAAATTAAATACAGTAGCTCAAGAATCAAATAGAAAAACTGTACAGACTCGCCACTTGCCCATATCCCCATGTTGTTATCGTTCGTGAATGTACAAGTTAAAGTTTCTTCACTAGTGTTCAGTAATGTGTTAATGCCCAGTTCCGCCCTCGCTGGGAGGGTCTCTCATGTCTTGATAAGACCTTCTAGAAAGTCTTTCTCCACCATCTCCTCTATGTTCTGTCGGGCTCGGCTCCAGAACACCTTCTGGCTCTCCAGCTTGTGGCCCTCCTTGCTGCCGGGGAAGGAGGAATCCACAGGATTGTGGGTATAGACGGGCCCCAATCGGCAGCTCGCCTTGCTGTTGAAGACCTGGCTGAGCAGGTTGAAGAAGGGCAGCAGCTGCTCCATGCTGCGGATGACGTAGAGGGTCAGCATCAGGTGGCCCGGCTCCCACGGCAGGGTTTTAGTGGAACAGTCCTCCTCTGGGTTTTTCTATGGTACGCAGAAAAACAATTTACATTTATAACTGCATTCCTTTTCAAGTTTTTAATTTTTAATTATTTTTTTTTTAATCAAGGAGGAGAGACCTTGGCTCGTTTTCTCAGCAGCTTCACCAGACGGACCACGTAGGGCTTGAACTCCCTCTGATGCGTCCCCTGGCGTCTCACCTCCAACCCTGAATCGTCCGAAGCCTCTGGGATGAAGGCCCAGCGGTACCTGCAATGAAGTGGTGCACAGCTTCTTAGGATTCTAACTGTAACCACTGTTTCTGTAGGTTTCATGGACTTAAAAGACCATTTAAATGGAATTTCGGACCCATAGTGCCACAGAAAATATATAAACTTCAACCATCCAACTTGTATTTCTCTTTCATAGGCACACAAAAAAAAGCTATCTAGCTAGTTAGCAGGGAGTTAGTTTGGAGTGAATTTCTGGTAGCCTCAAAAACCCAGCGAGAGAAAAAAAATACAAATGGAATGCTTTAAAATTAAATAGTTTTGCCAAGACTTGCGAATAATGTATCTAAAGGCCAACCTCCTTGTTTTAAATGAATTTAAGGTATTCAATTTAGATGCATGAAATCAGTGATGCACATTGTTTAACATATATACAGGTGTATCTCAATAGATATTATCAAAATCTTAATTTATTTCAATAATTTTTGTTAAAATATACTTAGTTGAAAATCTACTTCAAATGTTCCTTTTTTTGACATACCTGATGACTAAACTTCAGGGTGTTTTCACCTTTATAGTCCTGTAGGCTCAGGACTATAAATGGACTGGAGACCAAAAATGCAACATTTGTGACAAAAATGCAACATTTGTGAGCCGGTGCGGTTCACTTTCACACGGCACTGTGTCAAATCGACCTAACCCTTTGGGAAACCTGTTCATCCCCTCGCCTGCGGTGGCGCTGCACCAGGACAACAATACGAAAACATCTGAGGAAGACACTGAGCGCAATTTTGAAGAAATGCAAGCAAAAATGAAGTGGCGTCACATTTAATCGCTAAAATCACTGCATTTTTGGTAACAGTTTGTAAACAAAACCTTTCTTCAGAGGTCGTGTCCATCGGTGGTTCTTGATGCAGCTGTTGATGCAGTCAAGTTCTCCAGAGTTCCGCTGATGACCCCATTATTTGACTCAGGTGTGTTGAAGTAGAAACATCTAAAAGCTGCAGGAGACCGGCTCTCCAGGCCTGGAGTTGCCTACCCCTGCTCTAAGGGATTGGCTCGTTTGACACAGAGCAGTGTGAAAGCAAACCGCAGCAGATGAGAATTTAAAAAATGTTGCGCGTTTGGTCCCAGTCCAACCGAATCTACCAGATTGTCAGTAAAACTATAAAAGAAATACTTGAATTTCTTCTTTGAGTGATGAATGTTTCATTTTGAATTGATCATAACATTAATTGATACTCTAGTGGATAAAGGTGTTTTGGCCCAATTCTTTAGCCCGTTCCTATCACATGCAAAGTCCACAGCAATGCGGGTTTTATCTGCACTGACATCTGGAACTGAGGGAGACTCTCAGGAGGCAACGCCAAGGCAAGATCCAGGAACTTGCAAGCAGAGAGGTAGAGGTTGAGCCAGCGCTGGCTGTTGTAGGACGTGGAGAAGCCGTTCCCTCCAGAATAGGTGGTCTCCAACCCGGCAACCGACGGTCCTGACGTCCTAGGAACGAAGCGAGTTGGTTTGTGGCTACTAAGTATCTGCCACATTTTTAATCGTTTCATTGTTTAAACAGTTCTGCTCTCAACTGTGCAAGTATACCTTGATATGTCCTCATCAGCGGTTAGCTCCTGCTCCATCAGCAGAAACACTTGGACCTGTGAAGACGCACGCATGCCAATGTTTGATTTGTGTAACAGAAGCAAAGGGTGAAGTAGTACAGCAGGGAGCGGTTCGTGAGCTCACCAGCTCAGTAATCATAGTGGGCCAGAGTGACGTGAGGTGTTGAGGCGACATGCGCAGCAGCAGCACTCTGAAGAACAGGAACACCTGAGCATGGAGGATGGGTACCTGAGGCAGACGCAGGCTCTCCACCAGACGCTCTAAAACACACACAGTCAACACGTGTCCGCTTGATCAACTTGGTATGAGAAAGAATCTAATCCCAGAAGAGAATTGGATCCATCAGTAGTGTTGTACAATAATGTGAACGTCAAAAAGACAATGTCGCAATTGCTGGGTTTCCGTTAAATAAGAAATTCAACTATAATCACATGTGAATAAGGTTGTTCATGTCATAAGTCAATGAAAATCAACACATTTGACAAATTTAAACTCTTCCAAGCCCCTTTTACTGGGGATCAGCTACATATTTAAGCATCGTTTTTGGGAAATTGTAGTCACCGATTTTACAGAATCAAAAGTTTGTCTGAACTTTGTGATGCTGTGAGAGCCACGGGGTGGCTCTCACAGAGAGCCACACACAAGCCACAGAGAGCCACACACAAATCCTCTCAGCCACAGTGTGGCTCTCACAGCATCACAAAGACAAACACCCCAAAAACAAACTGTCTCTCCTACTACTTTCTGTTGTCTTTGTTGTTTTTGCCAGTAGTAACATCTGACTGTTCATCATGTGACTGATATGAAAGAAGTATGTTCATTAAAGTTTTGCGGAACAAATTAATTTGGCTGAAAAACCGCCTCCTCTTAGCTCAAAATCCTCTCATCATAAGAACGTGAGCTTTTTCAAAATTGCCTCTAAGCAAATTTATTTTCGCAATTCCATTTTGCACAATAATATGGCCAATAGAAACCCAGCCTTGCGCTCAGTACTAGTAAAAGGTTTGCTTGTGTTCACCTTGGATGTCCGGCAGGTACTTCTGGTACTGGTCCACCTCGCTGCTGTAGATGGTGAAGGCCAGGCGTTTGAGCAGCATGGCCCTCTGCTCCAGCTCAGCGTCTCTGTTGGTGAACAAACTCAGGGAGCTGCTCTGAGCCACCGCCACCCGGGCTGA